AAGATTTCTGGTCGAATTATTTTTTTTTTCTTACGTCCTGATTATCCGTCTATTTTTTTTTTTTAGAGATGGTGACATTTTGGTTTTCAGGTTATATATTTATTTCTTCATTACCACAGGGTAATTACAAACGTATCTCGGAGTTAGCTTTCTTTTGCCACCTCCTGTGTCGTAACAATGATTTATACGCAAATGTTCACCTAACTTACAAAAGCAATAAGCCACTTAATTTATATAAACAAATCTTGTATCGTCAAGCCAAAAAGTTCGGTATTGTTCTCATAAAATACAGACAAACCTCTTATCTACGGACCGCCCCCCCATCAACGGACTTCAGAGGCAACGGACAAAATCTGCAGGTAAAATAATAATAAAAAAAAAAAACTTATGCAGGAAGAAAAACTTCCAAATCGTCAGCGATGTATTTCAAAATTTGCGGGCTTAGCGGAACAAGTCGTATTAGTTTTCAAAATGACCGCTTGACGACGGTGGCTGGCTTTTCAGTTGTAAACAAAGACTGGTGTACAGTATATAAAGTACAATACATAAGCGCGTGCGCGAGAAAGTGGCTGTGAGAAATCTATTATTTTGTTATTTTGATTCATATATCTATTAAGTATATATGTCACATATACATTCTTATATTATTTACATTATGACCATAACGACTGGTAGTTACTATAGTTGTTTTATAACTCAAAAATAATCCCTTCCCATCTACGGACAATAGGCTTTAATGCGACACCCCTCCCCACTATTAGTCCGTTGATGAGAGATTTGTCTGTACTTACAAAATTTAAATGCGATTTCAGTCAGTTGGACTCTTATATGTGAGATTTTGAAAAGGTAATCCTTGGCACTGAAGATCCGTTTCTTACAGTTCCTCCGTATATGTATTACCGAGTCTAATAAGGTCTATTGGAAATTAATAATATCATCGTTCAGGCTGAATCTAGTTTACGTTTATCGACAAATAGTGAACTTATATCAAACTGGTAGGATAACTTGCGTATAAGTGTAGTTCATACGGTGTAAGATAGTAAACAAGCTTGAAAAGAGAGAGGAATATATTGGTTTCTCTACTCTCCAAGATCCACTATAGGCATTAATATACCCGTGATATATTAACAACATAAGAAAGACCAAAATATGAATTACAGGAGTTATAGATGAAAACATTTTATATAGAAAACTGAAGTACACAAATATAAGTCATATCTCCATTATTTTGCATATGTATTATTTTCATAATATGTATTATATTTGTTCTCCATGTGCTTTTTTTTATTATTAATTATGTTATGTCATAAACATATGTTGTGATGTGTTAGACTATTACTTTACTATTGCATTTAGCATAAGTGAGTGACGTAAGAACTTATTCACGGAAGATCGCAGGTATCTTCCGACTTGTACGGAAAATCGCGTTACGACGCATTTTAGAAACGGAACTGTCATAGATTGAGGACCCCCTGTGTGTGTGTATATACACGCACACACACACACACATATATATATATATATATATATGCAACAAACTATTTCTTATATAACATTTAAAATATTTCATTCTTGAAAATGGCTAAATGTATAGCTGAAAGCACTCGGAATAAAAGAAGATTCGGAATTTTCATATAATTTAGCATCTGAAAAGAAAAAAAAATAGATCGCATGAGAAATTGTATAAAAAGCTAAATCAAAGCAGGATTGCTGCCTAAATACACACACACTATTTCAACAAATTTTCAATGAACTTCTTGACAAACGCTAGAATTGATCATCAGATGTTCGATTAATCTTATTGAAATTATCATATCTATCATTTTTACTTCTGAGAACAAAAGCTAATCACAAATTTAAAATTTAAAGTTTCGTTAGAAACGTAGAAAAACTTAAATTTAGAATCCATTAAAATTTTATTATGTCATTTATACTTGTATACAAACTAAACTGTTCATGTATACACATATACATGTTGACACACACACACACACACACACATATATATATATATTTAATATTTATTATTGCAAGTTTCCAAAGATCACATACTTCATAATATTCAATTCAAACTTATCAATTATTTTAAAAAATGGACAGTTTTTAGACAATGATAGAGATAACAGAAAATACTTCAACGCAACACAAAAAAACGAACTAAAACACGCTTCATGATATATAACTTCATCACAAGAAATTCCAATTCTACTCATTACAAATAATAACTAAGGAATAGAACATCTTCCAATACAAGCATGTGAAAAAAAAAAAAAAAAAAAAAAAAAACGCTTAACTCATTTCCCATCTTAACATATTTCACAAAAAGAAATTTTAATACATAATTGTCCTCACGTGGTCTTGTACTTTTCAATTCGGCCCACTTTAAATAAGTGCATTTTTTCTGTTTTAAGATAAAAATTTAGATATTAGTTGATTAATTCTTAAATGAACCAATTTTCTTTGAATAAAATATTCATGTTACTTTATTTTGGGGAGTAGTTAAGAAATAGAAAAAATTTTTTTTTAATTGTACGACCATCAATCAAATCTGAAAAATAAAAATTTGATCGAAGATATAAAATAAATTTATTTTTTTGGAAGAGATGAAGAAGAAAAGAATACGTAGCAAAGTTTCTTTTTTATTTTGCTTTTACTCATATTGGAAATGATTCAGATATATTTTTTTCATAGTGATGATTATTGAACAGAAAGTTTTCAATAAAATTTACTTTTCATATGAATTCTACTTTATGAAAATTGGCATATACTAGAGAGCGGGTCTCGTAGTAGCAGAGATTCGGAGGTGGAGCAAGAGTTTTCAGCACTGAAACTGATTCCAGTTGGACATATGTAACAGCATTAGTAATTAATAATAAAGTTAATTATAATAAATAAACTCTTTGTGAAACAGACGCCCGAGAGGATTAGTCCCTGATCACAAAACTTAATCTTTTCAAATCTTGAGTCAGCCATTGTCTATCCTACCAATCATCATAGGTACCTATTATCCCCTTCATGAATGCCCTTAAAACTTCATCCATTAACACTTTACCTTGAGTGGCTCTTGTATTGGGTGAACACACACACATTAAAAATAAAAGTGAACATTGAAGTCAACATCTAGAGGTGACAAGCTGTTTCATGCTTGACGCAATCGTCAGGCCATGCGTCTGCTAGGAATGGTTTTCTCCTTTGATCAGAGTAGCATTTTTTTATGCCAAAATTGGGGTCATTTTGTTACGGTGGGCAATTAAAGCATTTGATGTATTGTTTGGTAAAAATCAACAGTCAATTTAAATGTTAAATTTTACATTGGTTCCACTGAAACTTTGGAAAAATTGTTCTAATAAACATAAGCTAAGTTTAAGTAGCGATAAATAAAAACAAAACAAAAAAAAAACACACTAACACTGCTCTCCCTCTAAATATGACTGGCAATTAAATGACGATGGCAGGAGACCCATAATTATGGGGCAGGGGGGTAACAGGAAGTAAATCTTACAATGGTAAATGTGATAGATACAACCTTTGTCTTGTAGAGAAATTAACTATTTTATAAAATTTAAATAACCCTATTAAACAAAAGAAATGAATTAATGGTCATACATTGGCATATAAACAAATGTTGAAATATGTCGAACCAGAATGATTTCAATTCAAGCCTAGATGTTCCAGTTTCCCTTTAATGCATTTTCTTACTTTTCGTTGAGATTTATTTATTTATTTTTATTAATTAATGTATAAGTGTATAAAACACTAGCTTGAACTAGTTATTTTCTATTTATTTGTATGTCAAGTTTTTTTTTTTTTTTAATATCTTATATCCAAAAATATATTAAACACATGAGTCACAATATGTATTTCATGTGTTGTGCCATTTCTTTTAGGGAAGTAGAATGTGTATGTGTATATATATATATATATATATATATATGGGAGGCCATATAATCACAAGCATATTTATCTATATTTTATAAAAAATTTTTTTTCATATGAATATTGCATCGAGCATGGTGGAAAGTAGATATATATACCAACATAATCTTGTATTTTTTGTAATTGTGGTAATAATCATATGTAACTATATATTAAACAAACCCTGTGAAAAATATGGATTGCTCACTATTACAATAAACTGGTGTGTGTGTGTATATATATATATATTTCTATATAAATTTAAATTATGTAACAGTCAGCCATAATTCAGTACCTGAAGTTTGTATAGCATTATCATGGAGAAAAAAAAATGCATATTTATTATCAATATATAAAAATTATATTATTGGGCACTATTTTATTAAACCCACACTCAATGTGCAATTATATATATATATTTTTTTTTTCTTTCTAAATATGACAAACTAGAAAATTTTATTTGTGACACGTTTCATACGTTAGGATTTCATGGGATTGGGCTTTGATGATGTTGCCGCATCTACATGTGCACAAAACGAGATGCAGGTTGTTTCAAATTTTGTGTGTGTGTGTGTGTGTGTGTGTGTATGTATATCATTGATTTTTGAAGCTGTTGGTAGAAATATGTAAATCCATTTATCTGTGGATTGAACAATTAGATCCATTAAATTGATCTCAAAGTGCATTTTTCAGCTAAAAATCAAACTTATTTAATTCAGCAACTTTGATTCTCAGTTGAGTTGGAAAACTTTTTAAATTCGTAAAAGATTTGAAATAGAAATTCATTCTTTGAAGGGAAGTTTTACAATTTCACTAAAAATAAAAGTGAAAACAAAATCACAGAATGTTTCAAGTCAATCACTTTACATCAAATTGAAATCTGCATCTGTCAGAATTCAAATAAAAAACATGAATAAATGCAATGTGAATTTTCTTGATCAGACAATCAAATTTCTTAAATTTGCAACTGATTTTGTATTCAAAAAGAAATAAAAACGAAAAGTAAAATTTATGAATTTCTTTTGTGAGAATAAAAGAATATGAAATTTTTATTAAAAATGGTAAAAATTCATCTGATACATAATCTATTTCTTTTTCCATTTCTTTTTCTTGAGTATATTCTTTTTTTTCTGTCCTGATTTCTTCATTTGACCAATTTTTTTATTCTTCTTCTTCAGCCCTTTTTTCTTTTGTTTCTTTAATTGCGGGGAATCAGAATCCGAACTGTTTCCATTCACTTGGTCATCAGAATCTGTAACGTTTTTGTTAGGATCTTTTTTAAATTCTGTTTTTTTCTGCTCATCTGAGATTTTGTCATCTGGAAAAAACAGAGAAATAAAGATGGAGAAAACTGAAAAATGAATTAATGTCAGTAGTGGATTTCGTCTTTACAAAAAAATTCAGTCTCTGCTAAAGTCAAAATATTTTTATCAAAAGTACAATTTATCTTCAGAAATATTTGAGTATTTTCTGATACATTAAAAATTTTTTAGGTGCCTTACAGAGTAATGGTTAACAAGCTAAACATGAAATCCATTATTTCTGTAATGAGCTGATCCTCACTTAGTACATGTGTTGCTTCAAATTAATATAAGCTTAGAAAATATTTAAAAAAGATTTTATTTTTGCATTTCCTCATAAAAATTTAAATATGAAAAGGGAGGATTACTGTAGCACAATGGTTAGCAAGTTTGTCTTGCAGCCCATTTTGTAATTTTACAATTCGAAAATAACAAAACTTAAGATATATTTTTTGTTCATTACCAATTCTCAAGGTGACATTTCTGCTTATTTTCAATCAATCAGAGTGAAATATGCAAATTTAATCAACTTCTAATGTTAATGCTTTGATGACATGAGAGGAAAGATTGAGATCTGACCATTAAAATCCATGAAGGCAAAGTAAGACAACTTACCAGTTCCTGGAATTTTGTTAGAGAATTTCTTTAATTTTGCAACAAAGAAGCCATCGAGGTTGTGAGTGTGTGGATAAAAACGTTTTGTTAAATTCATCTTTGGGTGGAATCTGTGCCTTTGAAAACTGGAAAGAGATAAATTGGAACAATTGCAAAAAATATGAAATCCTCAAAAAGTAAATTACTCCATCAAAATGTCTGAAAAATATTCCATTGAAAACCAATTTCTTTCCTGCCAATCTGTGTAATATTTTTGTTGAATTTATAAAACAATTCTGGAGCATCTGAACATCATCTCCCCAACTTAACTAAATTTGGGTAAGTAAGCATCCCCCACCAAAAAAGACTAAGGGAGAATAAGACTTTATTTCATTGGCAAAATTAAAAGATACTGTTCATGCAGATGAATTAGTTATTGCCAAATTTGTTTTGACATTTATAAACACACCTATCGTGACTTTTTGTGTTACCATTATAATCGTCAGACTTGGTTTAATACTTTGAAAATTGTTTTGTTATAACCAGTGAATAACTGGCAACAGGAAGAATGATGGTTTGGAACAAGCGATCAAGAGTTATCTCACTTTAGTTTTGGCAATTAAACATCCACTCCTTGAAATTACTCATGGAGGAGATATTAAACTGATTCAAAAGTTTTATCTAGATGATGAAGTTTTGAAAATTTCATAAGACAAAATACTGATTTTTTTTGTGACACTTAGACAAGAATAAATGAATAAAAATTAAGAAATGATTTTTAAATTAAAAAAAAAAAAAAAAACATTTGTGAGAGTTTTACAAACACTAAATAGCCGAGAAAAACAGAAGAAAAGAACTTGTTTTCATAAAAAACAAAACACTTATACATATATAAGGATAAAGGATGAACTTAAGTCTGACAGATTTTAGTCAAGTGGATATTTCCATGTTTGTTTAAAAAAAAAAAAAAAAAAAAAAAAAACAAAAAACAAACTATTACTTACTTCACATAACCATCTTCACCAAATTCTAAGCCTGTAGGCACCAATTTCACATTTCTTTTCTTTAATGCAAAATCAACAACACATTCATTTTCTTCTACCTGAAATTTGGAAATAAAATAAATATATATATATATATATATATATATATATTATTTGTGTACATGTTCAAATTAGACAAAATAAAAAAAAAGGGTAGGTCTTTCCTCACCTCCTCATTAAATGATAACCAAATTTAATAGAGTGTTCATATATGGAATGTGAAAGCTTGGACACTACATGTTGAGGCTCTGATATGACTGAAAATTCTTAGCCAGCCATTACTGGGGCCATACAGAATGTAGCAGAGTTGGAACATGGACAGCTCCACTAACTCCTCATTAATCCAAGCCTCGGCTATCAAGTCCATGACCTTGATATAGGCTGTGACACTGACCCTAAGGTTCCACAAAAGGAAGAGAAGACAGCAGGACATGAATCTCACTATTTACAACTCTCAAAATTATCACAGATACAAGGAAATTGCTATACATTACCATGCACACCACCATCTACCTCTTCTACACTTACTCACTTTAAAGTCACAAACTTGGGTAGCAGCTTGTACCATGAGCATAGGATTTAATTTCCTATGGTTGTTATGTTAATGCCCTTGATATTTTGGAATGAGAAAGTTAAAATTTAACAAATGTCATGTAACATGTTTCATTTATGGCCCCTGGAAGTCGAAGTTTTCTTATATTTGCTATATCTTGTACATTAGGATAATCATCTTTTCTTAAATAATGAAGTTCCTGTATCACAACTCAATGAACTTTTGTTCAAAATAATGAAGGCTTTGATTCATTTAAAAAAAAAAAAAAAAAAAAAAAAAAAAAAAAAAGCCACCACCAACACAAAATCTCTAAAATCATATACAAGTACAGTAGTACTATGATTTTCTTGTTTTTGTAAATGTGTATTGCTATAAACCATTAAATGCTTTAAAAATAAATAAGTACTATCCAATTTTTCTTCTATAAGAACTGTACTGATAAATTGACTTTAATATTAACAGAACATTAATACAGTATTGGGGAAATTTCATTTCAAAAACTTAATTTTGCAATAAGTTTAAAAATGAAAGAAAAAAGAAAAAAAGAAAAGATTTTGTATAATTATGAAAAAGCATTAAAAGAACCAGTAATTACTTACCAAAACTGAACACGTGGAATAGACGAGATATCCACCAGTGCTGGATTCTGCATTTAGACAATCAATTGCAGAGAGAATAAGTTCCTTCTGGAGATTTGCGCATCTGCCAATATCTTCTTGGTTCTAAAAAATGATTCAAAGAGAATCATAACCAATTACCATTTTACAATTTTAATTACACTGCTAAAAAGAAATAATGTGCATAATTGTACGTTATTAAAAAAGTGAAAGTGTCTTTTTTCAAATTTTAAAGTGGAAAATAACTTATGTTGGAATACTTGTAAAGTCGGTGAACACAAGAATAAGAAAAGCTGAAATCATGCTTATATATATATATATATATATATATATATATAAAGTTGAAATGGAGTTTAAAATACATCCATGGTTACTGTTTTAATTTCACACCATTAATTTTTTGTGAAACTATAAATGCAATTGTTTGAATGAAAAAAAGTCTTGATGTTGTTGAATGAATTGAATTAATGAAATGACAGAAATGACAAGTCGAAAGAAAACTGTTTGAAGCAGTCATTGATATTGTAAAATGGTGAATTTACCTTACTCGTCTTGACACCTGGATCTTTGGCTATAACCCCAGTTCCACTGCATGGGGCATCAAGAAGAACTCTGTCAAATCCACTCAAAACCTGAAAAAGTCAGAAGAAACATTATTAAAATCCAACTGAAAATATAAAAACATTTCGTTAGGAATTTTCTGGGGAAAAAAAGAATCATGACTAAGGCTACATGAACAAAAAATATCATTCAAACAATTTCTATTGTCTATGGCTATATAAAAATAATACTAAAAATGAATAAAGAAGAAATGTATGTATTACTAACATTTTTACATATTGTTATATTTAAATAAAATGCTGTGTGTGTGTGTGTGAGTGCGTGACTTTTCGGCATCACCAGAAGTGTTTCCTACAAAGAGATGGGTGAAGTGAGCTTCTCTATACACTAGATTCTTGTGGTGACACAACAGTCACTTTCTCACAGACGTGATGTGGCTTCCCTCTGTCTTTTCTACAAAGATTTTCATAGCATCTGCTCTGATCAGCTAATTTCACTGTTACCCCAACTGTATGAATTTAAGCATGCTACTAGGTTGGGCATTTCAGTCCCACCCTTTCACTGTTGAAACAGCTAAATATTAACAGCCGCTTCTATTCCAACAGTTTCTTATCTCGCACTTCCCAACAGTGGAACTCCTTTCCATTACTTGCTTGCCTGATAGCTATACTCTTCAAATATTCAAATGTCAATTAACATCTTCTGATGCCTTGATCCTAGTCCTTCTCTATATTCTTTCCTCAAGCACCCCCTCTTTACTCTCACTCTCTGTAACCAGTTGTGTGCTAGTGGCACACCTGCCTTGCTTGCGATAAAATGCTTAGAAAAAAAAAAAAAAAAAAAAAACTCAAAACCTCCTGATCAGAGGCCTGGCTGTTGGACGTAGTTTATTGTCTTACGCAGGATGAGTATCTGAAATGAGTCTTATTTTATAGTTGACAAGTTCCAAAGAAAAATATATAATGTTTCAAAATACCTTTGTATTTAATTTGTTTGTTGTATATTTAAAGACCAAAATAATATATAAACATTTACTCAAATAATCTATTTTGATAGTTAAAAAAAAAAGATGTTCAAACTTGTATTACTTACATCTTTCATCTGCCGGCCATCATAGTTGCAGATAACAGTGTTTGTGATCCCCATTCGATGCAAATTTCCTACAACTGCATTAAGTCGTTCTTTATGGAAATCATTGGCAAATAAAACTCCCGTGTTTTTCATTAAAGCAGCTGTAAAAGCAAGAAATCAGAAAACATATTTTGACATCACTTAGTGATTAGCAAGCAGAAAAATGTCTGTCTATGATTTAAAAAAAAAAAAAAAATGTCTATGATTTAAAAAAAAAAAAAAATGTCTGTCTATTATTTAAAAAAAAAAAATGTCTGTCTATGATTTAAAAAAAAAAAAAATGTCTGTCTATGATTTAAAAAAAAAAATGTCTGTCTATGATTTAAAAAAAAAAAAAATGTCTGTCTATGATTTAAAAAAAAAAAAATGTCTGTCTATGATTTAAAAAAAAAAAATGTCTGTCTATGATTTAAAAAAAAAAAAAAATGTCTGTCTATGATTTAAAAAAAAAAAAATGTCTGTCTATGATTTAAAAAAAAAAAATGTCTGTCTATGATTTAAAAAAAAAAAAAAAATGTAGCAGTCAATTTTTTATGAAAGTGTCTTTTGCTTTTTTTAAATAGTTGTTCGATTTTCTCCCTTATCCAAAGTTTCAATGACCCATGGTCAATTTCAGGAATAAACAAGTAATGTTATTTAATAATGGTCCTAAAGAACAGAAGTTGTGAGTTCTGCCAAAGAGAAGCTGTAAAGTGATTACTTTAATGAGAATTCTTTAATTGAATATAGAAAGAATAAAAATCATGAAGCGATCTTCATATTACCCCCACCCCTAATTTCTGTAGATGTATGCTTGATCTTGATTAATCAATTATATTTGGAAAGTTTTATATAAAACCACTGACAGAAATCATGAAATATAAAGAAAGGGTCAAGGCAGACTGTTCTTGATCTGCTGAGTGTAGAAAGAGAAAAACTTCAATCATGGACCAGAGTTTATATTAGTGAAAACAAAGAAGATACAATTGGAATTATCAGGTTGTGTCAAAAGATTAACAAACTGCTTTATATTTTTGTTAGAACTCACTCCTAATGGTTATAATATGTCTCACTTAGACTACTCACTGTGACATCACTAAAAATTCTCCTTGACTGACTGTGGTAGAATTCTCTTGACTTTCTTTGAGTTCTTCATTTAACACATCATGCCTAGTTCATTTTATGTTACTGGGGGGGGGGGGGTCTTAATTACTCCACAATATCCACTCTTTTGAGATTTTTTTATTTTCATTAGTAAATATTTTATTTTATTTCTTAGTATTCCACCCTCCCTTCTCTTTCTGGAGAGTTCATCAAAGTACTAAACTTTGTATTTCTTTCGTTTTGGGTCAACCTCTAGTTTTCCTGTATGTTTTCTTTTTCTGTTAATCATACTTGTACCTTCAATGAATTCTTGGGGTGTTAGTACATCAAAAATATCATGCAGTATTTGCATAGGTTCTTCCTTTCTTGCAGGCCTGCCTTCAATAAACCTTTACTTTAACTGATTCCAATGTCTTGTGTTCTTTTACCATATACATAATTTTTCCAATTTGTGACCTTATTACGTTGTCTTCTAACATTTCTTTTTCATTTTTATATACTCTGAAAACCACTTCTTCGCCAATTTTGAAAAATTGGTGTCCTTTGTCTGTTCTTATTCTTTTTTTTGATCTGGTAACAACTTGTTGAACACAGATTTTATTTTCTATTCTATTTTTTTATTTTATATTCTCTTTTTTGTAGTGCTTCTCTGCTTACTTTTTAATTATTTGCTTTTTTCAAAGCTCTCTTAAAAAGACCATTCAGCTTGTCCACTTGACCTTAGGTGATACAACAGAGTTGTAATATATTCAATCAAGAACATTTTACAAAATTCTTTAAATTCGTAAGCAATGAATTCTGTACTGTTATTGGTTTTATTATTATTTTTTCCGTCAATGTGCTGTGTATAACATTTTTTCTGTGAGAACTTTTCTTTGATTTAGTTTTACAGTGTGACTTTTTATGCCCTATTTTTCCACACTTGCAGCACTTTGAATTCTTAAAGGGACAGTCATTTCCGAGATGTAACTATACATATCTGAAACATGGATTAATTTTTCTTTAGTTTTTTAAGTGCATTCTTTTCCCTTAATTTCTTCCATATCGCATCTCAGATTTAGAATTCTGACATTTGTCTGATATTTCTTGTATTTTTAGTTTTTTATTCTGTTCAAGTTTCATTAAAATTCTAGTACATATTTCTGCATTGTTTTTTTACTGTTAACCCTTGAATGAAAATTGACCCTTTAGGCATATCTGGAGTCAGTTCATTTAATTTGAATCTTTCACACACCTTGTTAACGATTCCAGCATATGTGATAAAATCTTTGTCTTTTTTCATCAGATTCATACACTTCCAACTGAATAACTTTTCTCATTAAAAAATTTAGTCAGCATATTTACTGTTTCTTCAAAGCAAATTTTTTGATAGTACAAAATTACAGTATTTTTCATGTTCTACTAGTTCCAACTTTCTCAACAAATGTTTTGTTTTAGTTCTCATCTTTCCAGTAGCTGCATTCTTCTCTGAAAATGTGCTTGTATCTTTTAAAATAAGCAGAAAAGGTAATTCCATCATCTGAATTGTATGTGAATTCAGCTATGGCATTTGCCACTGCATTGGAAGTGAAAAAAACTTGGGAAATTTTCCATATTATTTCAGTATATATTTTTTGTTCATGGAGTTGCTGTATTCTAACCATTTGGGCTAATAATTCTTCCATATTTAAAGAATATCTGGGTTTGAGTTCAATACTGGGTTAAGGCAGTGGAGAACTTTCTGTGGGAAAATTAACAGGAGATAACTGATATCCATTAGATATGATATGTAGAATTAGAACAGTCTACCCCAGTGAGCAAAATAAAGGGTTCAGTTTGACATTCCAACCACCTGTAGAAGGCTGAAACATTGTGATAAATATGGCAACAAAGATGAGAACAATAGTCTGGATAATGTAAATAGTGTACATAATACCTTATCTCAGAAATATAGACAGATAATGAAAGGCCGAAACATTGTAACAAATATGGTGACAAAAATGAGGACAGTAGTCTGAATAATGTAAATAATGTACATAATACCTCATCTCAGAAATATACACAGATATCTGATTTTTTTCTCCTCACTTTTTTTTCCTTTGGTGTGTAAAAAAAACAAAAAACAAAAAAAAAAAAAATTGAACCCTTGTGGTTCTATTTTTTTCATCGTCAATTGTTATCATGTGCACCTAAGCAAAAAATACATTTTCCTACTCTGTATGAGTTTTGATCTCTTTTTTGCCACTGTTAGGACTCACTACTAATGGTTATAATATTATCTCAAATAGGCCACTCACTGTGATGTCACTAGAAATTCTCAACTGACACCAACGGTCTTTGAATTCTATATTTAAGGCACCTTGCCTAGTTCATTTCATGTTACCAGGAACATCTTATTTACACCAAAACAGTTTTTCAGTTGATATCAGGATTAGGGTCAGAGACAACAAGTATTATAGAGAGAAAGTCAAATGACTAAATATCACGAGTTTTTTTTTTTTTAACTTATTTATTTTAATTTTATTAGTGGCTATATTTCTGAGATGAGGTATTAAGTACATTATTTAAATTATTGGGACTATTGTCCCCATCTTTGTCGCCATATTTATTACGTTTTGGCCATTGTACGCTCAAGCCTTCTTCAGGTGGTTAGAATGTTGAACTGAACCCTTTATTTCGCTCACTGGGGTAGACTGTTCTAGTTCCACGTGTCATGTTTAATGTATGTCAGTTATCAGTTATCTCCTGTTAATTTCCCTCTCCAAGTTCTCCACTGCCTTAACTGGGTATTGGGTCCTGTCTCTGGATCTAACTAATGCCTTTATCCACTGTGCCATGTGTCCTTGAGAATATTTCTGTATGAATTTCTGGGTATTATAATCCTAATGTCTTCAGCAAACATCTTTTTTACCAGTGCTCATATTGCAATTTTTGCTGTTATCATTGCATGTTTTCACCAGAGCTCATATTGCAAATTTTTGTTGTTATTATCACTTTTCTTTGGCACTCCTTATTTCTGGTCCCCATATTGTAGTGAGTGATATGAATTCACCATCAATGACCTGTAAGATTTACATTATCGTAATGACTTCAAACATGAACTTTAAATGTTTGATTTAAACACGCAGATGTTCTTAAGAGATCCTATTTGTAAAAGTGGGTTGTTAATGGACAGCTACATTTTTATTATAATCTTTAATTTATATTTTGTGTAAAAAAAAATAAAAAAATAAAATTGAAACTGACTGAAGCAGCAGCATAATCCACCAATCTAAGCAGTGACTTGTTGTTGTTAAATAAAACTAAAAAGTAAATCTTACCAATGTGAGTTGTTTTTCCTCCTGGAGCAGCAGCCATGTCAAGAACCATTTCTTTCTCCTGAGCAGCTAAGGCCATTACGGGTAATAAACTCGAACCTCCCTGGATAATATAATGACCGGCCAAATATTCTGGGGTGGCACCTGTGCATATTAATCATCAGAAATAACCAAATAAATATTGTACTGCATTACGAAAAAACAGATTTAAAAATAGAAAGTTTTAATGATAAAAAAAAATATTCAGAAATATTGTTTCTTTTTAAGTTCATTTTTCATTAACTTTTAAATAAAATAGAGGAATAAATGGGATTTTCAAAACTTACCAATGGGAACTTGAGAATCATAGATAACTAATCCAACTTTGGTCCATTTTCCAAGTGGATCCAAGTTTACGCCTCGGTTAATAAGAGTCTATCAAGAAAATGTCATTTAAAAAAGACAATTAAAATTGGTGCAAAAATTTCAAAATTAAAACAGAGCAAATATATAATGGCAATGTCCAAGAAGTTTTCAAATCCCATCTTAACACAATGAAATCACTGAACATTGTCTTCAAAGCTCAAAGGTTTCGTTTAAGCATGAAACAGATTGTCAGTGTACACTTTTATATTTATATACACTATGATAATGATCACTTTTATCCATAAGATAGCATACCTTAAAACTATATTTTTTATCAATATATATATATATATATATATATATATATATATATATATATATTGTATATTTAGGCAGCAATCCTTCCTTTATGCATGTTTCATTAAAAACGACAGACAAGGTACTACGGTTGAGCTTTTTATTTAATTTTTCTTGTGTTCTGACAAGAGCTTTCTTTTCTGGACAAAGGGTGTGTAAGAACTGTCCGAATGTTTTGTATTTCCGAGCACTTTCGGCTATACCTTTAGCCATTATCAAGGATGGTTCGATTATCACTCTACTAAGCTGATGCATACTCGGGAGAGATATCTGCGAAGTGGCGTCAAGCTTTTGAACGCAGATCCTTTGTATTTTCTCTGATAACCCCTTTACATAAGGCAGGCAGACTGTTTTCTGAGTGTTGTTGTCCTCCTCCTCTTGTACCCGCCTATCCCAGTTTATTGGGGCTGCTGCCATGTACCCAGGGTAGTTGTTACATTGTAGGGTACTACTTATACTGACCAATTCTTTATGTAATGTCTCTGGATCGCCACTTATGACTTTTGCTCGGTGTTGTAAGCAACGGACGATCCCTTTTTTTACGCTGTATGGATGGTAGGAGTTGAAATTGAGGTACTGTCCCGTGAATGTCGGTTTACGGATGTCTTAAACCCATGCTCTGTTTGAGATATAAGAACATCTAGAACAATCTACCCCGGTGAGCGAAATAAAGGGTTCAATTTGACATTCCAACCACCTGAAGAAGGCCAGAGCGTACAACGGCCAAAACATTGTGATAAATATGGCGACAAAGATGAGGACAATAGTCCGAATAATGTATATTATGTACATAATACCTCATCTCAGAAATATAGACAGATATATTGGTAGGATAAACATGTTATATGGATGATCTTTATTTAATGGTTACATATTAATTTACCAAATAAGTCTATGTTTGAATTATTTACTAGTTTCTTAAAGAGGCCTCTTATTTATCAATTACAAAGAAAATTTTATGGAGGAAATCCACAAAGCATATAAAAAGTTTGCATTAGGTTAAATTACCTCTCTATCCCTCCACTTTTATTTCTTGGTAAAAATTATCTGTTTGACATGTGTACACATTATGTAACAATCTGTATCAATCTTTAATTTAATGTCTGGCTGCTGTTGGCAGAAAACTCTTGGTCATGACCCATTTCTAAGAAACTTTTAATTTTTTCTTTTTTGCTTTGCTTGAATTTAACATAGGTCATATTTGACTGGTTGATCAGGGTAAAGACCTCAAGCTTTATAATTAAAAAAAAAAAAAAGAAAGGATTTACTTTCGAAACCAAATTAATTGTTTATAACATCACTACAAAAATAGCTATTTCGTTTCAACATTTCTGGTCTCTTATCAAGTGATGGTGTGATTGCAAGAGTTTTAAGGGTTCAAAACCAACCAAAACCCCATCAATAGGGGAAACATTGTTACATAACCTATGATAACCAATCAGAAAACAAGTATATGGTAATTCAGAATAACGTGACAATATACCCTAAATACAATCTCTTAGTGCATTGAAGTTAAGATTAGATTAAATTAGAAATCAATATAACAAAGTTTTAATTTCACAGTAAAATTAAAAATTAAAAATGGCAAATTTTAAATTTAACCAAGCATCAGGTTTAAAATTATTACAAAATTGTTCAGAAATGAAACCAGGAGAAAAAAAAAAAAATTATTGTCCTTAGCAAAGTGCTTATTTATTAGTTAAGTTTGACATCGATATAAGAAGTATCTATGATTGCTACAAATATTTGATACATAGAAGTCTGAAGTCAAATAAGGAGGTAGGGAAGGAAGGGAATTAGCAAATGACAGGACAAACACATTCACATCCTAATATACAAACGTATACATATAATCATGCAAATATAAGGATGGATATTTACACAGGAAATAGAAGGAAAAATTCAAAAAAGAAAAGGAAGAATAAAAGGAAGAAGAATAAAGACAAACATATAAAAAAAACCATGCAAAAGAAAATTATGTCAGACACATGTATATCCAGGTAAAAGCATATACAAGCAATGACGTACACATACGTATATACAAATACTCGGACTCACCAAAATTCAAGCACCTGAACTTGAAGACATCTCACTCACACACACACACACACACGGTGATTGAAAAATAACTCAATATTTTATGTATGAATGGGCAGCCAGCAGTCCTAAATTAACCTTTTCAACTCTGCAGGTGTACATGTTTGCTAAGTGACAGAGCTTTGTTTCAAAGGGAAAGTACATTTCTAAAAATAACCTATTACTATGGAAATGATGTCATTAAACTTGTGACATGAACTGGGAATGAACGGATGTCAGCCATTTTGTGCTAATTGAAAGAGTTATTTTAAAAGCAAATTTAAGAAAGTGTTTTAAAAATGTTTAAATCCACTTGAGATTCATTTTCATTCATCCGCATAAATATTTTATAAAAAAACAAAATGTGGCATAAGGCAAAATTTTCAAAAGCATGTGTCTTGTACTAAACTTAGCTTAGTTTCAAACAGGATTACTGTCGCAGAACACCCAGTGAGGGTCACACTACAAACAGGATTAATCTCGAGACATGCTTGTTAACCATCACTTTATGACTGATGTCCAATAAGAAAGTAATTTAAATAATACCTGAGCCAAGTTTCTTCTTCTTGTTTTTAGTGTGTTTGTTCTAATGGTAACAGGCCTGTCAACCTCATTTGCTTCAAGGAATTCTATGATCTGAAAGAATTCAAGAGGAAATCATCTTAGAATTGAGAATTTCTTTATTGTGAAAAAAATAATGAAAACAAACAAATTCATTCAACTCTGTGAAGAAAGACAAAAGTAAAAAATCTTTGCATAAATGACACATTAAAAAAAAAAAATAAAATAAAAAAACAAAACAAAAAAACAGCAGATTTTATCAGAAACGAGATGAGTAAGTCATTAAACCAAATGTTTTGATTTAATATGGCCTATTTCCAGAAAGTTGTCAAGGTTTAAACTCAGTGTCAATTCTTTACACAGAATTGGAAATAAATAAGTAGAGTTTCTAAGGAGAAATAGATTCCTATCTTACATTTCAGCAGCATATCTGTTTGTCTGTTTAATGGCATAGCAACTCTTTATGAGTCATTTAATGGCAAGATTTAATTTTCTGGGGAGCTCTGCACTAATAAAAATATGATATGTTATTCTGCTTTCACAATTGAATAAATGGTAGATGATACTCAGCTTTTGTGCATAGACATGTTTGTGTAGACGTAATTACTAGAGGTGATGATATGTGTGCTTTAAGTTGTAGTTTTGCTTAAGTTATATTTTGGAATTCATTTTGATTTCTTTAAGAAATTGTAGTAAATTCTATAGATTAATGTCAGGAAAGTGTTCTTTCATTGGTTGATTTTGTTTAGTGGCATATCAACACCTCTATGGGTTATTTAATGCCAAAATCTAAATATTTTCAACATAATTTTATGACTTCAACTAAATATATCTTGAACGCATTTGCATGGCTTCAACTACAGGTAAAATGCATTGCTAGTCATTTTGCTATAAAAGGTATTGTTGGTAATTTTGCTATAAATAGGTACTTTTATATTTTCATAGGGTTTTGTTTCAGGGGTTCACTATTTGTCCATAGCTGGGACCCTAACAGGTACTACTACCTTGAATCAGAGTGGACTTAGGGACAACAGCAATTAAAAGGGGATTCCACACTCCTCAAAACCTACTATATCCCAACCAGAGGCCTTGTTGCTATTTATCATAAAACCCAGGAGTATCCTATTCATTTAGGGCTGACCTCAAACATTTGGCCTGTGAAATGAGACAAATATCTGCAGAAATCCATTCCAAAATATCTTTCAGTGTTTCAAAAAATCAGCATTAGAAATCCTAGTTTCAAGCAGGACTTGAATACCATCTTTAAGCATGAGCAGAGACTGCGCAACTTTCTAGGTACTTCTTTTCATCTTAAATATTGTCACATTTTAACATAATCAGAATTTGATTTATGTTCAGAATATAAATTTGGAACATTAAATTTAGAAAACAAGGAAAAAATAAGTTTTATAAATTAAAAAGGGAAACCACCCAATTTATCAAAATGAAAACAGAATAGAACTGGGGGTGGGGACATCAAACGTTCTCAGCTTAAACAGGAAAAGATTAAAAAGGAAAATTCTGTATGGCCATTTGCCCAGATTTTAGGGAAGTGGATTGGGCTGTGTACTTTTCAGCACCTCATTTATTTTTGCTTGAATTTTTCTTAGACAAGCTGTATCAACCATTGGAAGTGGTTTTCTTTGGACAATTTTCTCTGTTTCTGTTTTTGCTGAGTCTTATTTTGGGGCACATGATGCACACATCCCCTGAACACCGTTAAAAAAAAAAAAAAACATGTCGGGGAGATATGTGGATGTGAACCTGAAATAAGATATGACAGAATCTTGTGACACAATAGCCAAGGAGTACATGGCTTAAATGTGAATTGGGACACACACACACACACACACACACACACACACAATAAAGGTGGATTTGTTTGCTCTTGCCTTTCAAGGCTCAATACTGAAAGACGTGTGGAATACACATTGATTAGTTGACTCAAAATAAGAAAACATCACTTTTTGGACTTCTCTGTTCTCTCTCCATGCTACGTATGAATGAATAAAAGCAAGAGCCATCAATTATAGAAAATTGTCATGTATTTTTATTCCTCCTCTTTCTAACTTCTCGACAGATCACTCCTTATCCAAGAAAAATTTTATTATATATCAAAGACAATAAGGATATTTACATCTTGTGGAAATAATTCCATAAATTTCATCATAAGGAAGTCATTGTAATTATAATATCTGCACATATCTTTTCTTAGTAATGTGAGGTAGTCCAGGCGGCTTCTGCAAAGAGACAAAACAAATGTGGGTTTAAACAGGTTTCAAGAATGCAATATACATAGATACGTAGGATATCCTATGACACAGTATGTATTGGACAAGGTTAATTTCCACTTTTTCTTTTTGAAATGATATGTGAATTGTTCACAGGAAAATTATTTATTCTTTCTATAAAAATTGTAAATGTTTACGGGATGATAGTTGCTGACTTACAGATTCTGCTTTCCATGCTGATGACTGCTATGACACTACAAATTTTATTACTATTATAGTCATAAAATTAATATATCTAAAAACTGATGTTGCATGAATAATTGGCACACTAATATCAATGTGGCTCATGCTGTGACAAATGTACCTCACACAAGAGTCAGTACCAATGTTTCATGTTAAAAAACCAACCTTTCCCAGAGAGAAATATATTTTTGCTTATCAAAAGAGAACTAAAAAGTCATTCATTTTGTAAAGTTCATTAAGAAGTATAAAAGACAAAAAGAAAGAGAAATAAAATAAATCATTTTTAAAAACAATTTGTCAAGCAAGTCAAAATCTATATGGGTCATATTGTACAAGCAGAAATTCTTTTGTATTGTAAATATAGAAATGCATAAAAAGCAAACATAAAAACAATGACAATGAAGTATTTTTGATTTTGTTACAAAAATCCAGATGAAGTTTCAAACTTATCTTCTCATAGCTAATAACAATAAAACTTCAAATTCAACACATTCATTATTTTGGTGTTAACTAAGAAATCAAAATAAAGAATGGTGCCAGCAAGAAAATGATATGAAAACAATAAGGACTTACCTGTCTGGTTCTCGACGTTCCTTGAAATTTGCAAGAACGTGCAATATTTCTCGAATTCTATGCTGAATCACAGCAAGGTCTGGAGGAAGTTTAGGTGGAGAAAGTTAAGGATTATAATTTACACATGGAAGCTAGATTTGTAAATTCATTCAGAATGTCAACACGGAATACACCATCCAGTTCCTGAGGGAGATATAAATTCTGTTTATTTGGGATTGGCTTTACCTCAATTTTTGGATCAAAGTATTACTATTATTCAAATCTTGTGAACTCTTCAGACTGACATTCTCATATGTGTTTCAGCTATCCCGACACGAACTTCCTCAGAAGTTGGTCAGTTAGGGGGTGAATAGAAAGAAAGATTACCAGAGAGAACATGCACCCCGAGAATAAAGCAGTTAAAAAACAAATGAAGAAGAAGAAGAAGAAAAAAAAAAAAAAAAAAAAAAAAAATGGAGACTAAACTGAATGATCCACATCTACAAAATAGAGTACACATACACCTGTGTGTGTGTGTGTGTGTGACATTTCAGAGTGCACAGATAATTTGATTCTTGATGGAAATACGAATCCATATGTAAAAATAATCCCAACATTATTACATACACTGTGCTAATGAAGAAAATCCATTTTTTTTCTTAGTCTTAAATATAAAATTGTTACAAACAATACTTAAATTCTTATTTGGTTTTCAGTTATATAAAATAATAAAATACTGAATATGAAAATTGTAGTTGCAGTTAAAAAGTTCATGGTAAAAGTGATTCTTATGGATGTGATACTCACTGCAAGAAAAAGAAAATAGGAAAAATGACTTTGTACTTCAATGAGTATTTGAAATATTTGTAAAATCCTGATGGAATAATTAACCTTTTCCATTATAAAATGATTGCAATACAAAAAGGATATATTCTGCTTCAATTTCCTGTCCACTTGGCAGCACAAATTTTTCCATTTCTTTTATGTTGGTTTGTAGTTCTAATTCTGCAAGTTCCCTGAAAATGGTGAAACTCAAATTATTTGTCTTGTAGAATGAAATGCAGATTTTTGTAAGAAAACAAGATATGTGGATACCTCAAGAAGATTGGTTAGATTTAATTAAAACTTGATAAACTGTAGGCCAAAAATTACAATCTAAATCATTAAATTCCATTTTAAAGCATTCATTTTATTCTGAGGATTTTTATTCATTTATAGGCTTCACACTAAATCCAACATTCACCAAGAGCAGATTTATTACAATTTTTTCTGTGAGAGGAGTTGTAGCTTACACTCTTTGCATGTCCCTAAAATTAATGTTTTCCATAAGTTTTCTCCAAGGGAAATAAATATTAACAAACTTTTTCTATTAATGTTACATTCAGAGGATATTTGTTTAGAGTTTAAATTTAATATGGAAACATTGGCATCTAACTTTCTATCTAGGCTTTAATATTTTTTGCTTAGAGAAGCCAGAAAATATTAAAAGCCTATACAGAAGATTAATATTAAGTTAATGCCAAAAATAATATACTGAACACATTTAAATAAATCAAACAGTGTTAATAGAAATCTATAGAAATTCTCAGCAAGTAAATTCTGCTTAGCTTTACAGGGAGAGCAAATCAAAATTTTGTTCACTTTAGCGTTTCTTGTTTGCTGAACAAAAAAAAAAAAAAAAAAAAAAAAAAAAAAGCTTGTCCCAAATTTCCAAGTGATTTTGTGTTTGAATTTTGTAGTTGGTGTAGTTATATCCTGTTTAATGACAACAGCTAAAATGATGAAGCTGACAACTACCTGTGAAGAGGAATTGTGAAAGATTAATTTTTTAACAATCATCATAATTTTAAAGACAAATTAAAGTAAATCAATTTACTTGTCTTTTTTTTCTTTTTTATGCAATTTGGCAGCTTTTTTCTCAATTGGAAGCAACTGGAAAAGAAAAACAAAATGTAAATTAATTTTAGGAAATAAATTCAGATGAAAACTGGTTTTTAGTTATGTTAACAAAAAGTGTAAGATTTTTTTTCTATTACTATTTCTTGAGCAGATGAATTAGATATGGGAGATGGGTTTGCTTATACTCTTCTTTATCAAATATCATGAAGTCATTTTTGTCAAAATAGGACAGAGTATAAGGAAAAGTGAATTCAGGCCTTCCTTAAAGACATTAGTGTTAAGGAAAGATGAGCATTCTAAGTTAATTTAATTTTCTGTCCTGATATACATTGCACTATAACACATCTTCAAGAAAACAAAATTTTATGATCCACACAATGCAGATTAATCTCCTAAGCAAGGTAAAGAAACAAAAAGATTGATACCAGTAAAATTTGAACTTTAAACTAATGACTGGTATAATTCAGTTACCAAATATGAATTTGTTTTCATGTTAATCATTTTAAAAATCATGAAATTAGACAATATGATAAGAATATTCAAAGAAATTAGTTTTAATCTTGTGTCTTAAATGACATTTATAGCAAAGTTTTTCCGATGAGCATCTGTGCCAATGAAGAATAAAGCATTGAAAGGTTCTACATACATCATCGTTGTCATTATCATGGTCATCAGAGACATCATCATCGTCGTCACTGCTATCAGTTGATTCTCCAACTTCATCATCCATCGGTTCACTGTCATCCGAGTCATCTGTTTGCATCTCATCATTGTTCACCTGTTCACTGTCATCAGAGTCATCCTCTTCATCATCGAATAATGGTTTAGTATTGGCACCACATGTTTCTGTCTCACTTTCCTCAGAACTTTCAGAAGCCTCCTTCAAATAACCAATAAAAAATGGTGGAATACATTTGATAAATGTTTATCAGAATCAGATTAAATAAAATGATTTGCATTTTAAAAACAACTGCAAAATAAAATAATTTGAAATCCTGTAGTAATAGCGGGAGAATAACAAACAACATTTTTAGTTAATTATTATCATCCAGAGTTCAAAAGCCAAAATCAACCAATTTGTAATTAAACTCCATCTCAATATTCAGATTAATTGGTAAAAGCTAAGAATTGTTAAGGAAACTTCTATCGAAAAGTGTTATATAATTTAGTTATAGTGTACTCAAAAATGCACCAAAACACTCAATATACCTTTAATTTAGTTTGAAAAATAAAAAAATAAACAGAAATGTAGTTTATTCACAGTGTGTATCTAGAAACTTGGTATCAATTGAATGTAGAATAATATTTATAGACCTTTATTTTTATGAGTAATAAAGAAGTTGTTACTATTTAAATTTGCATGATGAAGAAATTGTGTTTTTGTACAATGTTATCTTCGGTATATAAAATGCAAATGATCTTAATTAAAAATATTTTCAATGATATATGGAAAATTCACAAGTTCACTGTCATCCAAGTCATCTGTTGAAGTAATGTATTCATTCAATAAAATCAACAGTGGCCATCTGAGATAAAGAAAAGCTTTATATATCATAATCTATATTATTATTTTTATTATAATTGTGTGTGTGTGTAACAATCTGATTTCTTACACATCTTTGGATAATAAGGAGATAAAGTCCTTCCTTTCTTTTAAGTCCACTCAGCTATCTGAGTTTCATAGGAATCGTCCATCTCATAGGCTCATAAATTTAAACAGGTTTTCATCACCAGCGGAAAAGAAAAAGTGGTTTAATGCCCACTTGATGTAGAAAATGAGTCAATAAGTAACAGACCCACTCTAAATAAATGTATTTTTTAGTTCATATAAAGTAATTTATTCTTTAAATCCAGTTGTAATCATTAGGTTAAGTAAATTTTATGAAATCCTGTATTTCTATAATGGCTACTTTATTTTTGTAGATAATTAAAAAGTTTTAACATTTTCTGTTGGAAGACATCATATATGGCATAGTTGAAGTTCATTTTACAATATAAAAATTGAAATAAAAAACAGCCTAAAACTTTGCTTTAAGTAGTGGAGCTTCCGGTGCGAATGCTAAGCAGTACAACATGCCTTTTCCAAATTTCTGGCAGATTGAATTGTGTCATGGTGCTCTTTTTCTCACAGACGGTGTGTAACTGACCCTACTATACTGTGAAATCAACAAAATTAAAAACAAACAACGTGCATGCATGAAAGTAAAACTATAAAATGGCGACAATTTATCCATCGCACCCTGCATGTATCAACTTAATGCCCCTTACCTGCTGACTGCAGCAAGTGATATTGAAAAAAATTTTGTAATCAGTTGCAAAATAAGAATAGAAAAATAAGGATCAGGTGTCGTATTATTGCATATAGAATTCTACAGAAGAATTAGGGGTTTTATATACAATCGCACAGAATACTTTCATAAATGGTTTCTAAAGACCAGTAGTAGAAGCAGAGAACTGCAATTATAAAGGATGAGCTAAATTCTTTGCTTCTCAACATCCTCATCATTAGTTCCATGACCTTTGAGTGATCATAAGGTTTCTGCACAGTTGATCCCATGACCAGTTCTTGCCACAAATCTGGGTTGAAAGTCAGAAATCTATTTATTTTTCTTTTTATACCATTTTACTTGGACACTTATGTCTGTAAATATGGAAGGTATATGGCATATTCAGGTAGAGAATATTTCACTTTTTGGTATATGTCTGCCTCAAGGAGAGCCATCTACATGGTGTTGGGCAATTTTTGCTCTCCTCCCCACACATATGTGGAGGTCTCGCAGTTAAAAAAAAAAAGACCCTATGTCATTTAATATGAAAGTGGAATAACCAGTTCAGGAACATCAAATCAAAATTGAAATTACTTACCTGAGAAGAAACTTCAATGCTGTCATCATCATCGTCATCATCATCATCACGTATTTTCTTTTCCTCTTCTGTCTCTTTTTTGGTTTTATTCTTCAAAGCAAGTTTTTTGGCTTGAATTTCTAACCGAATACGTTTCTTCTCAATTCTTTTTGTCAACCTGTAATCAGCAACAAAAGCCAAAGATTATTTATCATTGTCAATGTCAGATCTTCTAAAAGGAAAACACCAGAAACATGAAAAGTTTAACAACATAAAAGCCTTTTAATGTAGTTACAATTGATATTCAAATATTTATTTAGATTATCAATTATGGACTTGCAAAGAGCCAGAGTAAAACTCTTGTTTGCAGTTTCAGAGATGAAATATTTTTATGATATTTTGTTCTTAAAGTTTTACTTTTGACAAGTTTATCATTTTTGTTGTTTTGTATCAAAGCATTTTTAGCCAATTTATTAAAAGACATTCAATTGTGAATAATTCAAAACAAAAAATAATTCCAACTGAGTCTTGAATATGATTCTGCTATTTTGACAACTCATCATTAGTACTTTATGTTGCTGCTGTTAGTATACCAACAGAATGAAGAAATTAGTCAAACTTTACCTACTCTACAACTCAGTGCAGGTTCACTGAGAAATAACATGTGACTTATGATGGATAACCTCCCTCCCCCCCTGTCATTTGCAATTGGGATTTGTTACACTCTCGCTTTATTCTTTTGTCACTCTCTCTCTCACGGGGAAGATGTGTTGCAGGTTGGCCTACTGATGCATCCATACCACTTAGTTTCTGCTTCCAGTTTCATGGAAGACTTAAATCACTTGATATCTGTTTCTGGAAAACTACACCTGTGCAATGTTTATACTTGTTGAAAAATCATTTTGGACAAAACTGTTTTCAATTTGGTGGCAATGTTCTTCATGGATGCTGTGCCAGATTGATTGCATCAACAGATTTTTAACGCTCATGAGTTAGGGTTAATTTGTCAGTATGAGATTGTTGTAATTAACACTTTAACAGTTTCAAAATTTTCTCATTAATGCAGTATTTCTCCATCTTTTGTATTCCAGTTTCCTGTAATGCTAATGATATCCTTCTTTTGTGTCAGGTCCAAACAAGACATTGTTTATCTGGCTGTAGAACAAGCTGTTTTCAAGCAGATATAGATGAGGAGCCTGCTCTGCTTATGATTTTATTATTGTATGTAAAATCCCAGGTGTTTCTATTTGTCCTTTTTTCAGGATCAATTGAACTCAAGTTTTCAGTCATCAGCCATTTCCCCCTAAATATTTCAATTCATGTTATTACAGAATTATAATCATAAAAATAAAACATTCAGTACCCTGAAAAACTACGAAAGGCAGTTCCTTCTAGGAAAGAAAAAAAAAAGGGCAGGACATAGTGAAACAAAATGAAAAAACGTGTTGAGTAATAAAATTAATGTTAAAAAAAAGGAAAAGAAAAAAATGTCTTTCATTTTTATATAAATCAAATTAAGTGTTTCACATTTGTGTAAAGATTTTGAAAAATGTTATAAATCTTTACTAACCTTTGTTTCTGTCTATGGCTTAATTCTTTTATGTCCTTTTTTTCTGAAAAATAAAAAAAGTTTTCAAATAAGTCAATTTTGTTAAATTTTGTAAACATTAAAATAAATTGTAATCAAGAAATTAAGAGAATCATATTTAGAATTTCATAAAATTATATTTCTTAATTTTTTTCATTTGTTAAACTAAAGAATGATTCTCTGTACAAAACTGTTAGAAACATCAGTGTGCCACTATGCAACAAACTTCAAGACATACAAAATTAAATTGAATTTGATTTCTTTACAAATCCTTTATTTGGACAGAGGTTAAAAAAAAACAAAAAAACCCCAACTGAGACTGTTATTTCATGGTCATCAAGCAGCGGATTAAAACTAATAAAATAAGAGATAAAGGAAGCTGAATCCATTTGGAAAGTCAGACAACCCAAAATTTCTCTTGGTACAACTTCTCATTCAAGCAACTGTATAACTTTGAAATTAACAGATACAGATGAGCAAATATTTAATGGCATGAACAAAAAAGAATCAGTAAAACAAATTCAAATTCCAGTTTGTGTCTATATTAAAAGTGATTGAGAAAGACATGGATACACTTTTGCCTGACAGCCTCAGTATATAGTGAGAAAGTTGGAAGCATTTAGCTTTGTAAGTCAATGAAACTGTGGAATCAAAGCTAGCACTCCAGCTCAATAAAGATTCACAAATGCTACAATGATAGAGTTTCCATGGATTGTTTGAGAAATGGAGACAAAGATCATTGTCTCATAAATGATATAACATAAAAGTAACTTTTCTTACTTTCTTTCTATTCTTATGGTGGTAAAAAAAAAAAAAATTCATTCACTATCCTTTTTCTCAGCCCAATTTTTATCCGCAGAAGTTATTTACTGAAGGTTTTGATGGACATATCTCTTGCAGAAGACAATACACAAGAACACTTCAATCAGAGATGCTAAATGTAGATGCTTTTCATGTGTCTTCCAAATTTGAATAAATTACCAACCACACAAGAAATGCTAGAATATTCAAAAGCAACTTGAATGATGAAAGAAAATCACAGATCTTATCAAAATGGATTTAAGCTGTAATTATGATCATAATATTGAGTGTGTGTGTGTGGATGGTGGGGGGGGTCGTTGGAGAAGACACATTACAGATTTGTTTCCAATGCAAAGTCGATGTAATAATTATTAAACTTATTTATGTTGTGTGGTTTTCATGTAACTTTACAACCCATCAAGAGGGTCCTTATTGATGAACGGATATACTCTTCATGGGGTAACTCAGTTGAGATCAAGATGCTAAATGTGTGTACATTATGCCCATTGCATTCATCTTGAATTCTTCATATTTTATCCACATTATGGACAACACTGCTGTTGATAGTGATCTGAAAAGAATCCTTTTTTGTTTTATAAAAGACGTTGGGATAAATGCACAAGTTCCTAAGGAGAGGATATGGAAGGTGAGTAAGAGGTGTGTTATTTTTTCATTAAAAATTTATAGATAAAAAATTATGGATACTGAACACAGACCTGTTTATAATAAAGACTGATTTCACCTTTCATACAATTGAATAAATGGTGCTAAAAAGGGATGAGATTGAATTCTTTTCATTCTTGCTTTGATTTCAAGCAATGATTTAGCAATATTGTCCTGAAAAGCCACCATTACACATTCTTTTATTCTTCATTGGGTCCTCCTACGGTTGTGACTGTGTGTCAGATTAAAATTAAGCTTAATAAGCTTCTCAAGCAAACCAATCACAACTACTGCAGTGTAGTATTTTCAATATTTGTACTCCACTGTCGTGGCCTTGTGCCAGATTTAAATAATTTCATTAAATATCTTTTGGGGAAATGGTTGTTAAATGCTCTTCAGTCTTCATAAACATCTCAAATTTGAAAACAGATTTCTAAACCCAAAATTGGTAGAAGTCTCCTTTTTCGTGCCTCATGTACAAGTGAAAAAAAAAAAAGTTTGTACTCTTTTAAACTAAACACAATGTGATAAGAAGACTGGAAAGTACAAAACAACAAATAAATAAATGATTCTCTACCTATATAGTACGTAACCTCAGTGTTGATTTTTGTTTTTAAATGCTGAAATTTCTAAAATTGCTCCTCAAAATTTGGCTAATAAAAAAGCACGTTTAAAAAAGGTAGTCTTGAGAAAACTAAGAATGACCATTTAATGCTTTTCTTGTACATCGACGATAAAACTTACTTTAAAAACAGCGAAGTACAATCTCAACTGTGGTTGGAGGATTAGCAAAATTTAGGCACATAAAACTCAAAAGTTACAATTTTAAATTTACATTCATTCTTAAATTAGAAAAAAAAAAGGTCGCCGACTTTCATTTATACGCCAACAGAGTAATGAAGACTTATAAACGATCGGAATAAAGTTAAAAGTTTCACATGATTCAAATTATACGCGTAAAAGTGATTGTCTGCAAAAAGGTTTTTAAATGAAACAGAAATGATCGCCGAAAAACACCTGTGTTTTATTTAAACAGTAAAATTCAAAATATTGTTTAAATGTGTAAGATACTTTAAATAAATTAATAATAAAATGTTTAAAAAAATTTAACGATAAAAAAAAAATATATTGCAATTCGTAATAATGAATTTTTCCCGTGCTAAGAAAATAAAAATTTACACAAACTGATCCTGTTAGCTAAAGCTTTTTAAATTACTATAAAAAAGACAAAATGTTTCGCATTCATTTTTTTACAAATTAACAAATTATGTCTTAGTAGAAATTATTTTATTTACTATAAAGTCGAAAAAGTAATAATAGCCAAAATTTAAGAGCAATATGTGATCGGAAACCCACATGGTAAATCAAAATCATTTTGCGTTTTCCTACATAACTTAGGGGAAAAAAATGAAAAAACTCTACCTTGAAGCGACCGTGGCAGTTTAGGATCGGATTGTTTCCTTGCCTTCCTACCTGGGCCAGATTTTGGCTTTTCCAAATTTCTTTTCCTTCCCATTTTTTGTTTAAAATGGGTATTTTAAATGTACAGTTAGATTAGCAACACGTGCACGCTTTTAATTGAGCTCTTTACATTCGGAGATAAAATTGTTTTGTATCCAGGAAGACAAAAGTTACCTCCCTTCATTTCTTTTTAAACAAAAAATTCACTTTTATTTTTTTTAATTTCCATCTTAAATTTGCTTTTAAATTTTAATCACCATCTAACTTGCTTTCACGTCCACAGTTTTCTTTTAGTCTTTTTCCTTTTTTATTTTAGTGAAATACCCATTAGGATTTGCTTTATTTTAAAGCAAAATCGCGATTAATGGCAGTAAAAAATCTTTGGTAAAGTTTTTTTTTTCAATTACAAAGATAGGAAAAACAGTCTTTTAGAAATAAATTTTAACGGATTTTTAATATGTAAAACATTAAGAATCTAAAATCATATTTAAATTAGAAACTATATGCGACTCACGTTATTAGCTACTTCATGTTTTCTGATAACATCTTTTCTTAATAACATCTTTCTGTGAACTTAGATGAAAGTCGATTCATTTTGAGCAGATAAGCAAAAATGACAGCCATTTGTATGAAATTGCCTAAACTTTAAAGTTTCCAAATAATAGCTACATTGCGAGTTTGAAGTTTTTTATGTATTGTAAAACATTTTTGTTAATCCTTTCTCTTTATCTGTCAAACCAGACATATAAAGAGAAACGTTTAATTTAACTTCAGTCTGCAGAAGGTAAAAGAACTTTGGAAATTGCAAATATGGTACTATCCAATTTCAAAGAAATGAAATGCATTGAAGCTTGTAAGCGATTCCCATACAGGTCTGATAAAGGTAGGAAATAGGAACACCATATTACCAATCTGAATCACGAGAGAAATTATTAAAAATCCAGTTTTGTTACTGTCAAATTTTAAGGCATTGTGGCAACGAGGAAATGATGAAAAACAGAAGTCAAATATCTCATCAACGAGTATTAGAATTTAATTTTGAGAACAACTGCCGCAGTGCTTTACAAATTCACGTTCTAGTCTTTTTTTTAATCCTTACCCCAATCCTTTCCCTCTACTTTCATATCCAGCTCCCAAAGCCTTGATTCTTATCAGAGATAATATATTTTCTGACGACGAGAGAACTGGAAAATATAAAAAGAATTTGACCACCAGGAAATTTGTATAGCAATTTTGCAAGGAAAAGTCCCCGATATTTTCTGAGTCTCTTAATCTCCATAAATACGGGTAATTTACGCCTGTTTGGCAGTGAGAATTCGACAACCGTCTGTGATAACATTAGGTCGGCGATAGAACACTGGTCAAATTCGGAACCAGTTTCAACAAAGAAGATCTACCTGTTGGGTTGTAAAGACAGACTGTCGTCCCATAACTTAAAACTAATTGAGATCTGCCGCGGCCACCGGTGGCCCCATATCTGGCAACTAGAAGAATTTTGTCGTCGGCCTACGAACTCACTCAACTACAAAATTCGTGTCTTCCCACGGTTTGCTCCTATACAAGAACTCTGATGAAATGTGTGAGGTATCGGTTTCCGAGAGAAAACCCATTAATTTGGAAATTCTTGCAAAAATCAAATAATTGTCTGATTTTAATGAAGCTTTCATGATTTCTTAAAAAATGAATGAATTTATTCTTATTTTTAGAAAATCTTGGTAAAAATATTTTTTTTTTTACATCTCCCTACCAATAACTTAATTTTATGAAATTTTCTAGAATTTTAAACAGTTCGCAAATTGTTTTATATTGCTTATAAGCAGGACTCCATGGAGAAAGTAAATCATTAATTTTTTTTCACAGCTACTGCCAAGTTTTAAAAAATCTGCTCCAAATCGTAAAATAAAAACTGCAATAAAATTTTCTGGTTATCTATAGATAAGCTTTTATTTGCTTTTATAAATAATATACATTAAGCATATTATTATCTGAATAAAAAAATTTTTCAATGAATAAAGAATTTTTGCAAGAATTTTTTGCATTTTTCTTTTAGTTTTTTCATTTTTCTTTAATTTAAAAAATGTTTTAAAAATCCTCTAAACAGAGTATGAGGTAGGTTATTAAGTTTTTTTTTTTTAAAGTGAAGGCTGTATTTACTAAGGGAAAATTAAAAGCTTAATACAAATAATGCTACCAAAACTTTTTAGCATAATTAAAGATATTTTTGTGCATCAAAATGTTATATTTTTTTTTTACCGTTCAATAATCTACTCGCTTAAATAACTTTTTAGGCGCTCAGAAAAATATTTTGAGCAAGCCTTTGTTTTTTTCTATGAACATTTTTTCTTTCTTTCTCTCGTAATTGTATATCTTTTTACCCTTTTTTTTTGTGTATGTAAATAAACATATTCTTCTTTTATTGTTACATACCGAGCAGGAATACAAGTCTTTATTCTTCCGCCTAAAAAGAGAGAATTGTCCGCTCTAATCTTTCTTTTCTCAATTTTATCGCATTTTTAACCTCAACTCTTTTATATGGGAAAGCCGGGACAAATTTCGCACACGGGCTAATAGGGGGAAGTATCGTACTTAATATACTGTACACCTGTCTTTGTTTACAATTGAAAGGCCCGCCACCACCGCCAAGCAATCACTTTGAGAACTAATACGACTCGTTCCATTAAGCCCGCAAATTTTGAAATACATCGCTGACGATTTGGGATTTATTTTTCCTGCAGATTTTTAAAAAAATTGCCTGCAGTTTTTGTCCGTTGCACCCGAAGTCTGTTGAAAAGAGGTTTGTCTGTATATAACAAAATTATCCTACTTCCAACACAATTACGTACCCACAAAACACGCCAAAACTTTATTTTCTACCCAATAACAGATAATATTACAAACATGTCAAAAAGATTTCACAATGCAACACACATCGTTTTAATCAAAGTATCTATCATTTAGAAATTAATATCACCATGTAAAATATTTGACCAATCAGAGAAAACTAAAACTCTTATTTTTTCCGAGCTTACTTTCGCTTAAAAAATTCTTATAAAAAACCTGTAGAGGGCGATAATCTCCCTTTGGTCGTGATAATTCAACAGCACCGATAGATTGCTTGATTAAACGTGATGTTTTAGCATTCTGCTACCATTTTCGACGTCAATTTTTATACAAACTAAACACCAAAATGGATCACAGAGCCTTGATATTTCCATGACTCCTGATTGGCCAGTTAATGCCAATATCATGCTCTCGTCTACGTCCGCACGGTTAAAATTAATTTACCGCCAAAATCTCTCTATGTGTTCTCGAGCTGGTCGCGTGACATACAACATTATAAATACTTTGACATCTTGATTCTTTCTCTTTCCTCTGCTTTTCTCAGAACTACAACAATGTAGTTCAGTGAAGAGCCCGCGTCTGTCCCTTATGGGAAGACGCTATGACACACGCACACACACCTGTAATGGCCTATTGTCACCAATTGTAAAGATGGGATTGTAGATAGACCAATACTATTTATATTAACGATATTTCCAACATACAGGATTCAAGTAAACTCCAAATTGTTAATCAACAAATATATATTGAAATAACATACAAGAACAAACATGCAATAAAATTGTGTTCAATGCATAGATTAAGGGTAAGAAGTTGTTCCCCTTTAAATGATTTGTAATTAATTGTTCAAAGAAAGTTCTCTTGAGAGAAAAATGTTCAGAAATCAATATTAGAGCAAATTTTAAGTTAAGAATGAATAACACAAGAATACAATTAATTAAAAATGTGTTGTGTTATAGAATGATTTGAATCAACAGAGTTCTGGTTGATTGAACTTGGCAAAATCACAGAGAGAAATGTAAGTCATATTACGAAATTCTGTGCCTGTGTGTGCGTTTGAAATGTGACGAGTAAGATCGTGGATTTGTGCTGACGGCTGGGATCTTACTGACGACACGTGAAAAGTCGCCCCTCTTAAGGAAAAAGGGTAGGCTCCCACGGAAACGCGGGGAAACTTAATCTTGCACTATAATATGTGATTGGTTTTAAAATTAACCAATCACTACACTCGCACTAATAGAACAAGCAAGCAAGCTCAAAGCCGAAGGATTCAAAGCAATAACTGCGATGGCTAAATTGTCCTATATAAAAGTAGTAGTGATTTATTAGCCAATCGCTGGCGAATAAAATCTGGGCGTGGAAAAACATAGCAACCGCTACACACCTACGTACGAACATTGCACATCTCTGAGCTCATCTTATTTACTCCTTCAACTACAAGGACACAGAAACTTATCAATTTCTAACAGTGAGATTTTCTTCAGTAACAAACATCTTATCAAAATAATCTCAGCTTCCTAGAACACATTCACTCAATTCATCTGAACTGATGTCATTCCTCTTCGGTGAATGAATTTCAACGGCAAGATACTTAGGCTGATTTTTTTTAACTCGAAGTGTTAAACTAAAAATTAAATTTTTACTACCAAATACAACTTTTCGATATTCAAATGAAGATTACATTTTCTCTCAATCAAAAAGTTTCTTTGAACTCATCTTACATCGAATTTCAGCCTACAATATCTTCTTAATCGAAGAACATTCTTTCCATTGAAACTTACTCTTAGTCTTATTTTTGAACTGAAATCTTTTTTCTGTGAGTCCTGATAAAGTCTTAACTGATTCAACTAGCAGTTAAAGGTAAATAATTCCTGCTATATTATTAATTATAAATGCTACATATTGACATACACTTTGTGCACAATGGAACAAACACTTTTGCCTGCCATTAAACAATTTTGGTGCGATAAACATCAATTTAACAATTTGCAACTTAGTTTAAAATTACCTGAGTAAATTCATTCTTCAGTTTTGTATATTGTTGATATAAAAATGTTTTGTTATTTCTAGAAAACATTGTTGTTTTATATTTTGGATTTGTTTGACAGCCTGGGGCCTTACAAATAATCTAAATGTTTGTGAATATGTTAATTTTGTTCACGTCGTAGCCAAACCTAAAAATATCCTTCTGATCAAAAATATATTCAAACAAAC